AAAATTCTTAGTCCTTTCTTATTCATTGTTAGGTTTGGTTTTAGACAAAATGGATCTGGATGTGTTTTATGTTTTAAATATTGTTAAAATGTTGAATTTTTTTCCTGTCCTTTTAAGTTTTTCTGATAATCCTTTTATGTATGGTATTGGTTTTTTCCTCGTATTATTCGTTGTGTATGCTGTAGGATCTTGTTCTAAGTTGTTCTGTTCTATTCGGTCGATTGTTGAAAAGTCCCTATTTATAAACGATAAAGGATAATTAATTTTTAATAAAACAGATGTTAACAAGAGTTTTTCCTCCAAGAACGAATTTTCGTTGGAACAAGCAATTTTGGCTCTATTGTATAAGGATTTAATGATTCTGTTTTTAATATTAATATCGTGATTTGATTTAAAGTTTAAATATCTGTTGGTATGTGTTGGTTTTCTATACACCTGAATCTCATATCCAGTATCGTTCTTAGAGATTAAAACAACCAGGAAAGGTGGTGTTATTATATTCCTTTACCATGGTAAATATTATTGTCCAACAACTTTGTGGGTTTTAAACTTTGTTTAGAAATAATATTTGTTTCAAAATCTTCCATAAATATATCGCCTAATAATGGAGATAAACTAGAGCCCATTGCTGGACCAAAATTTTGTTTATAGAAATCATATTTAATTAAAAATATGTATTATCAGTACATAATGTTAATGTAATAAATTTATTATAGCTAATATGTTTAGTCTTGTTCTAGTTGCCAATGTACCATCACTCTCTAATTTTGTCTTGACTATACCTATTTAAAGTCTTATCTAAAGGCACATTCGTAAATAAACTATTTATGTCAAAACTTACCAAAATAATATTTAAATTAAATTCAATATTTGATAATTTATTATTATCCGGGATATTAATCCGCCAATGCACAAGCACCATTGCTTATAAAGAGGAAGAAGAAGAAGAAGATATTGTAAAATTAATATTAAACGAGAGTTCAATATTTTACCCTTAACTTGGAAATTTTCGAGATCGTAGTAATTGCAACAATTTAGGTTGTTACGATTTTGTCGAAAAATTGAAAATGGCTGAGATATTGAATAAAAACAATTTCTATAAAACCATTCCCTGAAATGTCTTAACGTTCGCGCCTTGACCGCAGTGTACGACCTCAAATAATGATTTCAGCAAAAAATTAAAGAGATCGAAATTGTATAAAATATAATTCAATATTTTTCTTTACGTAAATTCAAGTTATTAATCAACGAGATAATTCAACATTTATGCTTCGCTCCCCCTTTCACTGTTTTCCACATAACTTGGAAAATCTCGACCGCAGGAAAAAATTTGAAAAGAAAGAATTGGAAGAAAGTCCGTCCATTTTCTTGAAACATTTAAAATGGCCGAGATATTAAAACTATTTCCTATATCACCAATCTCCGCAAAGTATTATACTTGCGCTTTTATCACATACGTACGACTCAAATATTAATTTTAGCAAAAAATGAAATGAACTAAAATTGGATAAAATATTATTCTGTCCATTTTTGTTTATGTACATTAATATCGTAAAGTTTACTAAACGAGAAAAATCAAAATAATTGAAGCTTAACTACTTTAACTATTTTAAAAATATTCAATTGTGAATAGATGCGGTCTGTTCCGTCGCTAGCCATCATCACAGCAACAAGGTCTTTTGATCTACGTGTTTTAATGAATCTTGGGTGTCGTTCCGTAAGAGAAATCCATGAATTGGTAATTAATCCATCACCAGGCTCCATTCCAAATCCACGTGTTGATAATTAATTCACCACCAGGCTCTATTCCACATCTAATAAACTATAAACACAATGGTTTTATACAGTCACTAGGCTCCACCATCTAATGGATAATTAGGAGACCTTATACCAAAGTAACAGAATATCGTAAATTTTTCATCCAATAGCCTAAATCGAAAACAGCATTTGGCAAGTTAAGTTTTTAGCGAAGACAATTTTATTTAATAATAAAGTCTTTAGTTACCATTTTACCTATGAGTCTTTGGTCATTTAATTTTTGTTTAGACCTTTATAATTTTTTAAGCCTTGCTGTAACGTAGAGCTAAGTCTACGTTACTTCTGCCAATTTGTTTAATAAAATATATGTTTTTTAATTATTGGTGTTATGTTTTGATCTCTCTTGTGATCGTTCTTGCTACCATTATTTGTCTTAGAGATTAGCCGAACTACCTAGTTTGTCAGATGGAAATCTCTATGATAGCTAAAGTTGATCTCCTCACTAAAGCCAAAACTTATTGTATTTGCTGCCCATTTCTACGCCTAGTTTTGAGTTTTTGTATTCTGTAGAAATTTGTACACGTCTTTTTCCTGGTGTCTCCTAAATATACCAGAGTCTCCTTTTGGTTTCTTAAATAGATTTTGCCTTTTGCAGTCCAGTTCATCGCAATCGCGTAATATGTGTTTTTTAGTTTTTGGTTATCATAGAGTCTGTAGTTAAAGTCTCTATTGTAAATGCCCATTTTATTCAGAAATTTTTTTACTTGTGTATGCCCGGTCAACATTCGTGTTACTGTTTTCAGTTTATTTCTGACATTTATTTCAGTTTATTTATGAAGCAATTCCTCTGTTGCTTTTATACATGATTCACCAGTGAAGACTTGCTCATATATTAGTTTTGAGATTCTCGCTCAACATCACTTATGCCGCTCTGCTCCAGTTCTTTACAGCCATACGTACTGCAGCCTTTGGTACTTTCAAAGTCACAGCCAGTCCGTTTGATTTATACAATCCTTTTTTTTGTCAACTTTGTTTCGGTTTCGGAGAGAAATAGGTATAAACATAATTACAGTAGTACATAATTACATTCGAACAGTAATTAAAACGAAAGAAGAAGGAGAAACACCAGCGGGATCAACAACAGAGATAAGATTTAGATAAGAGAAGTGAGTGCTCTGAAAGTATCGTCAGCCTTACAGCGGCCATCCCAATTTCAGGGTACGGTAAGTCAACTGCACACAACTAGGAGAGGGTGGTTTTAGTTGGTAGGGAGGATAAAAGGAAGACATATGTATGCAGGACCTCTTTCTTCTAAGGGCAAATGGGCTCAGATGTACTTCTCTATCCTGAATCCAACACATGCCAGCCATCCCTAGTGATGAATGATGGATTAACCTGGTACGGTTTTTAGAAACGTCCACTCTTAAAGAGAAAAAAAAGTCCATGCAATTCTTTGATACAGTCTCATACCAGCCTAGACGTCACTTCGTGACACGTTTGTACCGCTTAATGTCAGATAATATATGGATTTTTTTCCAGTTTTTACCATCAGAGAAAAAAAAGGTTATTCAATTTTTTGATACAGTAATACACCAGCCTGGACGTCACTTCCTGACACTTGAGTGTCAGACAATATATGGATCTGATCTTTTGCAAGGGCTATCTTACTTGTTCTAACTTTTTAGCATTCGCATCTAAGCATTCGCATTTTTACCACATGCATTCGTTGTTCGTGTTTCTTTTTTACTACCCAATACTTTTTTACTACCCAATACACAGTCGTGATCTGAAAATTATATCTAATTTATATTGGAATCAAACTGCCAAGGTAAGAGTTGATAGCCAGTACACCGAAAATATCAAAATACAGAGAGGAGTCCGCCAGGGTTGCGTGCTGTCCCCACTACTTTTCAATGTCTACAGTGAAGCGGTATTTCAAGAAGCGCTCTCAGACTCAATAGAAGGTATATCTATCAATGGAGAAGTTTTGTATAACTTACGTTTTGCAGACGATGCAGTAATAATTACGGATAACAACAATGATTTACAGAACGTAATGCAACGCCTTAATGAACGCTTTCATGAGTACGGACTGAAGATAAATTTAAAGAAGACTAAATGCATGATCATGACTAAATCTGCACATGCAAATATCCAATTTACTATTGAAGATACTGCAATTGAGGGTGTTAATAACTATAAATACTTACGAACATGAATAACATCAGATGTAGACCAAACCAAAGAAATTAAGACACGTATTGAAATAGCACGTACATCATTTATTAAACTTAAAAAGTTTATTTGTTGTCGGGATATAAGGTTAGAACTACGCCTGAGAATGCTTCGATGTTACGTGTTCTCTACTCTTCTTTATGTTTTGGAAACTTGGACACTAAAACAAGTTTATCTGAATAAGTTGGCCGCCTTTAAATTTTGGTGTTACAGAAGAATCCTACGAATATCATAGATTCAAAGAATGTCAAACATGGAAGTAACTAGAAGGATAGGAAATGAGGCGGAAATAATATTAACTATTAAAAGACGAAAACTTGAGTACCTGGGACATGTGATGAGAATGCAAAAATACGCATTATTACAACTTATTATGCAGGGCAAAAACCGAGGAAAGCGAAATGTGGGAAGACGAAGAATACCCTGGCTTAAGAACTGAAGGAAGTGGTTTGAATGCAGTTGTGCAGAACTTTTTAGAGCGGCAGTCAACAGAGTCCGCATAGCAATGATGATTTCCAACCTTCGATAGAAGATGGAACTTAAAGAAGAACTCAGTTCAGTATATCATAGCTAGTCTTATAGCATAGCTATTACATTCATCTCCATACATTTCCCACTACTTTGTAATACCGATCCTTGGTACCAAAAATATTATTTTTTACAATCAACTCATCCAAAGTCATCATTTTCCTGCTTTGCTTTCCAATTTAAAAATATTTTTTTCTTAACCAACGTTTTAAAATGTGTATAATTTATCCTAATTTTTAGGTCAGGAAGAGTCTTTTACAAAAAGCAATTTTTTGTGACATCTAAAGCAATACTAGTATTAGTTTGTATAAAACTTCTTTGGACAAACTGTACATTTTGTTCACTTATAAAATATCAACAATATCTGTAGAAACCTATTTTTTTCTTTTATATTCTCTTATGTGTCTAATAATAGTCTGTTCCTAGATTTCTATTTTTCAGTGGCTTTTCAATAATCCAGCAATCACTCGGTCCGCCAATGGGTGTATCACAACGAACCTACTCGAATTATTCAGGAAACCAAAGTGAGCTACTCGGATCGGATCTACTATCTGCCGGCCGATCTATGTGCTCATGTAAGGTAAGTTTGTTACCGGTTCGCTTTGCTTGATGCGAGACGGATAAATCAGATTATCGGTTGTAGATTCTTCTTCTTACTCTTTATACGGAAACGTCACGAGATATAAATGGGCTCGATTTCCATAGGAAACATTGAAAATCATCAAAAGGTTTTATTTTCTCGTGTCGGTGTCTTGTGAGAAAGGCTTGACATTGTGCACAACATATTCATAGTGTTTTGATCTTCATATATGTACTTGTTGGTTAAGTGTGTGGAGAAGTATCTATCGGGAAAGATTACTCACAATAATAAATTATTTTATGTTAAAATAGTTTGTTTACGACTATTTGCTATTTTTATTAAAAATAAACTACAAATTTGGTGTAAAATACTTCTATTTTGAAGTTTCAGACAAATTGACAGTAATATACCCTACAAATGGCACAATGCTAAGGTAATTCTATTATATAAAAAGGAGATCCCCATGAATTAGAAAACTACAGACCTATAAGTCTTCTTACAAACTCCCTTACAAGAATAGTCTTAAGGAATATTCTTAAGAAAAAACTTGATTTCTACCAGCCAATAGAGCAAACGGGATTTCGTGCCGGATTTGGAACAAATGATCACATACAGAGCATTCTAACGGTAATAGAAAAGACTATCAAATACAATCAATCACTCGTTCTGGCTGTTGTAGATTTCCATAAAACCTTTGACACGGTAGCATTTGACAACATCCTGGAAGCACTACAAGCATGTCGCATTGACTACCGATATACAAGGTTATTGTACAATACATACAAAAACGCAACTATGTCGGTGAAACTATATGACAACACGGATCATATCCCAATCGGCAGAGAAGTCCAACAAGGTGATACCTTATCGCCTAAACTGTTTACCGCAGTACTAGAATATGCTTGTAAAAAACTCAACTGGAAAAAGAAAGGCCTGAATATTGACGGTAGAAGACTACCAAATGTGAAATTCGCAGACGACATAGTTTTGTTTTCGGACAACCTCAAAGAGATTTGTACAAAGTTACATGAACTTCAGTTAATGTGTGCCAGTGTGGGTCTTAAAATAAACATCTCCAAAACAAAATTCATGACTAGACTTCGGCAAATATGCATATTGCATATTTTGCATATTGTGCATAAGTAAGTTTGCATAAAGTGCATAAAAATTCAGATTTTTATACTGTATTTGAAAATTTTTAAACATACCAATATATTTCAATTCTTGTATAAAATTTTGTAGTCATTTTAATCAAGAAATGATCTGATGAAGTACGTAATCTCTACAGGTACAAAACATTTACAATTTCAAAGAAGATCAATTTAAGTAGCCCTCAACATTCTTAGAAAGTCTCGGTCACTGAGGCATTCAGTTATTGGATAATCGCTAAGGGTTCGCTCATTTGCATTTTATGATCTAATCCCCAAATATATCTACAATTTATTGTACCTTAACAGCAGGTAAACGGCTAATAGTTTTGTTCCGAATTTAGGGATTTTCCAAAATCTCCCAGTTTATTGAATTAGGTACCTAAACATTTCTAATTTGATGCTCAGATTTGTAAATCATTTTTGTTTTGATATTCAAAGCGTAAACACTCGTTGTGCATAACAAAAAGGAAGATTGTGATTTTATAATGCCTAAAACAACCAGTGCTTCAACTTGGAATAAACCTTATAAAGAGCTGTCTATGGATATGGGAAAAATCTACTGTTCGGTCTGTGGCAAAATTGTAAGTATCTAATATTTTCTATTAAATATCTAATATTTCGTACATACAGGGTGTTTCCAAATGACACTTACAACGTTTGACTGTAGATACTTCTCGAAAAATTGAACAAAACGATATAGTTAATGAGGGGTCAAACTTATTTACTTTTCGAGATACAGGGTGTTAAAATTAAAAAAAATTAAATTCTTTTAGTTAATAACAACAATAACTTTAAAACCAATAAACGTATTTACTTGAAATTTAGTACTCGTAGGTTGTTTTTAAATGAAAACTAGCTTCCTTTAGTGACCTTAACGATGGGCCTTAAAATAAACAGGGATAAAACGAGAATCATGATAATTGACAGAGCTAACAACAATCAAAATCATCTGGTTAGGATAAACAATATCGCTGTTGTAGATAAATTTGTGTATCTGGGCTCATTAATAACCAACAAAGGAGGCTGTACTGAAGAAATAAAGCGGCGGTCAGCAATCGCAAAAAGCGCTATGGCAAAATTAACAAAAATTTGGAAAAGCCATGAAATTACTACCGATACAAAAATGAGACTAGTAAGAAGTCTAGTTTTTCCAGTTTTTACTTATGCATCGGAATGCTGGACCCTTACTGAGAAAGACAAAAAGAACATAGATGTATTTGAGATGTACTGCTGGAGACGAAAGCTGAGAATACCATGGGTGGCCCGAAGAACAAATGAATCCATACTGGTCCAGCTAAACATAAAGAAAAGACTAAGAACACAAATAACAGAACAGATAATAAGCTATTTTGGACATGTGCTTCGAAGAAATGGTCTTGAAAAACTTACCATCCAGGGAAAAGTAGAAGGCAAAAGAAGTAGAGGTAGATCTCCTACACGATACACGGACCATATTGTTGCTACCATTGGCGCTCCATTGTCAGAATGTGCTAGATTGGCAGAAGATAGGAAAACGTGGAGGAACATTGGAAAAATTACCTAACAGCTTCATGATATCACGATACCTGCATCAGGTTAACGACTAAGAAGTGAGAAAAAATTGTCCATGGTACAATACAATGGTGTGTATTTAGAAAAATTTTTCACCTTTACTTTTTTTATGAAGTCAGCTATTCTAAAACACAATTATTTTTATTGTAATTGAATTAACAAAAAAAAAAACTTTTGTTGAATTTTAAAAAAAGTTATATGATGTACTAATGGTTAGTAACAAAAACTAATTTGTGAATTAATACTGCATTTAAAACACTTAGCGAGTGTTTTTTTCCAAACCAGTTATTTGATTAACCAAAAACACCTTGTATATTTTTATATTTTAAAGGTTGGGTTAAAATAAAGGTTTTTATTTTTATTTATAGATAGCATGTGAGAAGAAATTTCAGATAGACCAACATGTGAGAACTGCTTCACACATTGCAAAAAAAGGAAAAATAGGAGGAAAACATCAAACTTCAATGGCTAAATGTTTCCAATCTACTTCAAAAAAATTAGATGAGCAAGAAACTTTTAATGAAGACTTGTGTCGCGCATTAATGTCTGCAAACATACCGCTTTCAAAATTAGCAAATGTAAATTTTAGTTCGTTTCTAAAAAAATATTGCAAACTTAATGTTCCAAGTGATCGGTCTCTAAGACGAAATAATGTGAACGGGCTATACTCGTCGGTGTTAATTAATATTAAGGAAGAAATTGCAGATAATTATTTTTACATATCTGTAGACGAAACCACTGATTCCTCAGGAAAGTATATTGCTCATTTATTGATTGGTGTTCTTAAAGAAGATACCTTACCAAAATCTCATCTTATTTCATGCCAGCAACTTGAGAAAACAAATGCTTTAACAATTTCGCGTTTTATACAAGAAACATTAACAACTTTTTTTCTTCCGACAACTATTCCTTCTAATAAATTACTGCTTATTTTATCGGATGCTGCTCCTTATATGGTGAAAGCAGGACAAAATTTAAAAATATTTTTCCCAGATTTAATACATGTTACTTGTGTAGCGCATGGATTAAACAGAGTTGCAGAGGAAATACGAAAAAAGTTTCCTCTTGTAAATACCATGATATCCAGTGTCAAAAAAGTATTTCTTAAATCTCCTATAAGAATTCAACTTTTATAAAGAAATGCTACCTAACATTCCTCTTCCACCACAACTTATTTTAACGCGATGGGAAACATGGTTAGAAGCAGCTAATTTTTATGCAGATCATTTTGTTAAAATAAAGAACATAATTGATACGTTAACAGATGAAAGTTCCCAATCTCTTTTGGATTCTAAACAAACTTTTCAGAGTAACTTGCTTCAACAAGAACTTTCATTTATAAAATCAAATTTTAGTTTTGTTCAAAAAACAATTACTCAGTTAGAATCACCAAAACTGCCATTGTTCGAAAGTACAGCATTAATAAAAGAATTTGCGTCATGTTGTCGGAACGTTAGAGGTAATATTGGAAAAGATATTTTAAAAAAATTTGAAGCTACTATGGAAAAAAATATAGGTTACCATATTCTTTCTGAAGTAGTCAGTGTTCTAGCTGGAAATATTTCGGAAACAATTAATTTAGAACCAAATGTTTTGGTTAGTTTGAAAAATGCTCCCGTTACATCAGTTGATGATGAACGAAGTTTTTCCATATATAAATATATGTACTCAGACAGAAGCCACAAGTTTTTGTTAGAAAATTTTGAACACCACTTGGTCATTTATTGTTACCATAATTCTAAAAGTTTATTCATACTTGAAAATGATGTAGTTACTTAAAATAAATGTAAATCTTAATGAATAGTAGGAAATATTTAGTTATGTACACTTTTTTTTTAAATAAAATTGTTACTATTTTACGATTTTTTTATTTATTTGTATGCATATTTTGTAAAATATTTGCATATTTTCGGGTAAACACGTGCATATTTATGCGCATATTTTCTACATTTTTATTTGCATATTTGCCGAAGTCTATTTATGACAAACCTAATACCTAGCGAAAATATCAATATTGAAGACAACGAAGTAGAGCTGGTGGAAAAATACATATAGCTTGGACACAAAATAAAGATCATAAGAGACCACCAAACATGCGAAATACGAAGAAGAATAAATCGTTGCCTTTGATAACCTATGGTGCCGAAACTTTGACATTGACAGCTACAATTTCTAAAATGCTGCAAATAGCTCAGAGAAAAATGTAATGGTCAATGCTGAGTATATCACTTCGTGACCGAGTTAGAAATGAAGACTTAAGACAAAGAACAGGAGTTACCGATGTAATTTTCCGAATTG